ATAAATAAATAAATAAATAAATAAATAAACAATCAAATAAATAAGTAAATAAAAAGGAAGTTATTCATTTTTAACCTTTTTTCATACATAGAGAATATTGCCTGTACTTACGAATTCGGAAAAAAATACAAACATAATATGGCATCCAGACCATAACATTTCTCCTGCAAGGTGCTCTGAAGGTCGAATTAAGCAGTCATGGCCACTGCATACTGACAGCGGTGACGTGGACGAAGCTACAAGCGCCACCAGACATGTCGACGTAGGATAAAGGGGAAGAAGGCTAGATCAGTAGCAGCTCGAGGTGTCATGGCTTCCCACAGGGCTATATTGATTGGAAACGAAAATATATCCATGATAATCATTTGAAGAGCCAAAAAAATAATCGACCAATATTCACAAAGCATCCGGAACTTTTGTGACGTCATCAAAATGTGCTCGTTTTCTATAAATAGATTCAGACGCCATGACACCTCTTTGAGTTTCTACTGATCTAGTAGTCCCTTCCGTAGGTTAAATCAGCCCTGACTGATATACATCTCTTTATTTTCTTTCTATGGATTGCCAATAAGTATACTCCCGTCATACCCTAAGAGTATACGTATACCCTAGATTGGAAACTCGTAATCTAGGTGAGACAAGACGACCACGGACCAGCAACCACCACAATTTGTTGTGTTTCGACCACAGTTCGTTCCTGTTACTACGCAAACTGTATTTATTGCGCCATTTGCTGACAAGGATGTTGCTGTTACTTATTCTTCATACTGCGCAGTTTATTTCAGACTATGGTAATTTTTTTCGGATTATTTAAACACGCGCCAATATGGTGGTATCAGAAATAGCCAATACATTACGAAATTAATGTGTGCATGTGGTATGATTTGATTTCATAAAGTGATTGGTAAATGGTACGCCAAAAATATATCAGCATTGAGCACTATATGAATAAGTAATCGGGAATGCTCATATTCTGATCGAATTCATCAAGACAGAAAAAAATATCCTTTATACAAAATACTCAATATGTAAGTAAATTTTCGGAGTAAGAATAATGCCTGATAATGCGAGTTACAGAATATTAAGTTTACAAAAAAATGAGCTTTAAATATGGCGCTTGATGCAATATGTATACAAACAGATGCCACACTGAACACCCCAATAAACAACAACACAAGATTATTCTAATCGTTCTGTTATAGCCTTTAAAACATGAATCTGCGTGACTAGAGCGAGTGTGGGTTTGTCTACGCCACGCTATACTGTGTCAGACCGCAGCTCCTATAGTGACATCTTATCTTATATATCTTCCAATATAACTGCATCTGCCATCTCCCCTCCCTGAGTCGCATGAGCGCAACGATTGAGAACTGCACGTATGACTCTGAAGGTCGAATTACAGCAGTCATGGCCACTGCATACTGACAGCGGTGACGTGGACGAAGCTGCAAGCGCCACCAGACGTCGACGTAGGATAAAGGGGAAGAAGGCTAGATCAGTAGCAGCTCGAGGTATCATGGCTTCCCACAGGGCTATATTTGATGATTGTTCGACGAAAATATATCCATTAAAATCATTATTTTCCATCCTTTTTTTTTTGAAAATTGAAGAGGCCAAAATAATCGACCAATATTCACAAAGCATCCGGAACTTTTGTGACGTCATCAAAATGTGCTCGTTTTCTATAAATAGATTCAGACGCCATGACACCTCTTTGAGTTTCTACTGATCTAGCCCCTCCGTAGGTTAAATCAGCCCTGACTGATATACATCTCTTATTTTCTTTCTATGGATTGCCAATAAGTATACTCCGTCATATACCTAAGAGTATACGTATACCCTAGATTGGAAACTCGTAATCTAGGTGAGACAAGACGACCACGGACCAGCAACCACCACAATTTGTTGTGTTTCGACCACAGTTCGTTCCTGTTACTACGCAAACTGTATTTATTGCGCCATTTGCTGACAAGGATGTTGCTGTTACTTATTCTTCATACTGCGCAGTTCATTTTCAGACTATGGTAATTTTTTTTCGGATTATTTAAACACGCGCCAATATGGTGGTATCAGAAATAGCCAATACATTACGAAATTAATGTGTGCATGTGGTATGATTTGATTTCATAAAGTGATTGGTAAATGGTACGCCAAAAATATATCAGCATTGAGCACTATATGAATAAGTAATCGGGAATGCTCATATTCTGATCGAATTCATCAAGACAGAAAAAAAATCCTTTATACAAAATACTCAATATATAAGTAAATTTTCGGAGCAAGAATAATGCCTGATAATGCGAGTTACAGAATATTAAGTTTACCGAAAAAAATGAGCTTTAACATATGGCTTGTATTGATGCAATATGTATACAACAGATACTGACACCATTAAAGCAAACAAGATTATTCTAACGTTGTTTACCTTTAAAATATTATGCGTGATTACATTGTTTGTGCGATGTAGATAACGTCAACCTGTTTCGCCATAAGATTAATT